ATTATTAATTCATGAACAGACTCTAAAATGTTGATACTGTAATTCATGAAATGAAGAAAGGAATATGCCACCTCATTTATTCATGAAACTCTTGTATTTCCATAAATAGATCTTTATAAATGCATGATAGCTGAAAAAAAAAAAAAAAAGCCCAGTGCAAGACAAACTTCTGAACACATCCAAACTTACACAGTGTGGGGCCTCACTGAGAAATTTATCCTTTGCTGTTTGCCACGAAGTTCAGCCCAGCATTAAATTACACCATTGCTCAGCTGCTCACTGCATCTGAATGGTTTTTCAGTAGAACTGCTTTCAAATTGTTAGCCTGGTGATAAGAACACTATTGATACATTACAAAAAAGGTCGCTCTTCTCACAGACCCATCCTTTTCTTACTCCTGGAGACTTGTGCCTGGGTGGTGGAAAACAAATCGTGTCCGGATTTCTAAAATACCTGGGACATTTCAGGCCTAGTGCACGCGCACAGGGTGCTCTGGATGACTGGGACCCCCCGACTCAACAGTGTCGATGTGCACAAGGACAGCAGCTCCCAGCTGTGTCAGCCTCTCTGTACATACTGTGAATATGCACAGCAAATGGCAGCTTCCCTGGACTCACTGCAGGTATGCCATACAGCAGACCTCTGCCTGTGTCCCTACTCCAGGACACCCTGCAGGGAAAGATGCAACTCTTTCTGGGCTGTGCCCACACCACTGGGAAGCAAGTATCCTTTCTGAATAGGTCGAGCTGGTAAAACAGCTAAAGGCAAACAGCCTAGAAACAGCCTTGAAATAATCGCTGGATCTCCGCTCATTTGTTAGTGCACTTCTGATGCATTTAAAATGTGTAAAAAGCCAATACATTTCTACCTGTGAAACAAGAGGGCAAAAGCAAGTTGGTTTAAATTAAGTGGATTTCAAGAAAAAACAAACCCTGTGCAGACTGGGGAAGTGTGAAGCTTCCTCATGAGGGAAAATTCAGGGGCAGGCACTGATTTCTTCTCTGTGGTGACCAGTGACAATCCCAAGGGAATGGCCTGAAGTTGTGTCGGGGAGGTTTAGGTTGGTATTAGGAAAAGATGGTTGGGTACTGGAACAGGCTGCCCAGAGAAGTGGTCACCAAGCCTGGCAGAGTCCAAGAACCATTTGGACAACACTCTCAGGCACACGGTGTGATTCTTGGGATGTTTTGTGCAGGGCCATAATTGGACTTGATGATCCTTGTGGGTCCCTTCCAACTCAGGAGACTCTATGATTCAATGATTTTACAATTTGTTTTTTAACTGTTTTGTACAGAGGGAGGTACACCCAGTGAACAGTCATAGTTCCCATCACCTGCTGAGTGTGGTTCAGATGGCCTCATTCCCAAAAGGACAAAGTCCCATAATTCCCAGGAACCGGTGTGGAGAGAGGTGAGCAATCTCCAACCACGTCCAGAGACATCTACGAGCATCTCTCTGGCATGCTGCTGGCAATAACCACCCACCAGAGAGAACAGCTGTCTGCAGAAAACTGTTCTTGGCATATTCTACAACACTCTCCCTGTACTGAGAATTTTGGGTTTGGCTGCTGAGTGGGCAAGAGCAGGCACTGGGGAAAGTTCGTGCAGGTGCACAGAATGGGAATGCACAGGCATTCAGGTCAGCAGCTGGGCTGACTGGGTGACACAGAGTACTCTGCACAAGGGAGGAGTGCTGGGAGGAGGTGTTCCTAATGCCCTGAAAGGCAGACTAAGACAATGTATAAAACCTTTTCTGCCTGGCTGCTGTACCCTTCAGTTGCAGTTACAGGGCAGAGGTGTCATAAGACTGGATTTGGGATCTCTCCTTTGTGTCATCCAACATGCTCTGGGAAGACCCCTGGAAGTCAGACTCCATATCTGATCTGAACCTGTACAGATCTGCTGTACTCAGTCAATGTGACTTTAGATGCATTCCAAAGGTGTTCTTCCCCTTTGATGTCAATCTGCAAAGCTTAACTTCTTTCTTTTTACATTTATTATTATTGTTAATTATTATTTCTTTTAACTTTGTTCCATTTTTAATATCACCCTTGTAACTAATATCACATTGCTTCCACTCCCTCTCTCACCCAGCCCTACTCCAGCTTTCCACTCATTTACTATCTCTGAGCTCTGAGGTGGGGGACACTGCCACATCCACAGCCTTCGTCACCACATCAGCCCCCCTTGATGAGCTCAGTGCTGGATAGCCATCCTTCCCAGCACCTCCTTCTCTCTCTGCCCAGACAATTCTGATTCAGGGCAGCATCCCAAGTAAGCTTATGGACCTTTGCACCTCATGTCTCACCAGCATGTCCCCAACCTGGTGGAGGAAAGCCTTGTTGATGGCCGATAAAGGTGTCCCGCACTGGAGCATAGGTCTCTGACAGCTCCTCTCACAGATCTAGCCCTAGTACCAGCTCTATGCATTCTACTCCAATTGAAACAGTCAAAACAGGCAAGAAGTTCTCGGCAAAAAAAAAAAAAAAAATTCCTTGGAAAATTCATAGTCTTCTGAGGTACAGTATATCCCTGTTGATACTGGTAACAGGGACATCAGGATGCTGTCGGCTGAGGTGAGTCCACAGAAACCCAGTTGTCCCATGAAGAGGCACCGTTAGCCAGAGAGCAGCTGGGGCAAGTGGGCAGAGGTGAGGGGTCTGCACTCACGTTCTCGTACAGCTGGGTGAGCTCTGTCACAAACATCACTGATGATAGGCAGCAGCTGTTGTTGAGAGCTGCAAATTTGTTTGGGCTTTCTTGCCTCTTTCTGGTCCTTCTCCTGACTCTGCTTCACCTTTATCTCTAGTTTGATCTTTGCTATTCTACACAGAGTTAGTGTCGGCCTGTCCCGGTGCTCCTTCATCTCTCTGGGGCCTTTTGTACGAATGCGTTTCAGAAAAGACTACTCATTCATATTAAGAGGACAGTCAAAGGACTGTATTGTGGAAATCTCAGAACAGTACTGCCAGCAGTTGCCTTGACAAGCCAGGAATAAATAACTGTGGGGAAAAGCCATCTCACGTGTCTCTCACCCTCAGCCATGATATGCCTATGCAACATGTAATTATCCAAAAGAGCAGCACACACAAGACTACTACAATCCCTAGGATATAGTACAAGTCCAGCTCCTGACGACCATTAGTCTTGGCCTTTTCCCCAGCACCTTGCCCTGCAGGAGAAGAAAAAACCGCATACATTACTGTGCTCTGCTCTACAAATAATCTCACAGGTGGTCTTATTCCCAAAAAAGCGAAGTTCCAAAATTCCTGTGATCTAGGTGTATTGGGAGGTGAGCAATCTCTAACCGCATCAAGAGATGAGTACAAGCATCTCTCTGGCACACTGCTGGCAATAACCTCCACACACTCAAGACAGCTGTCATCCTCAGAGAGCTGCTCCTGGTTTCTTTCACAACACTGCCTGCAGCCCAGGCAAAGCCTGACAGTCCTTGCAAACCAAAACTGCCTGCACATCCTTTCCACCAGCCAAAGGGCCCTCTCCCTCCCCAGTGACTGGCAGGGTGCTGTCCCCCTCCTGGCTCAGGAGCAGTTGGCTCTTCCACACATCCCTCATGCGCTCCAGGAGCACCACCAACAGTCACACTCATCTCACCACAGCTATCAGTCTGACAGCTGAAAATCCATCACAAGCAGAAATGCCTGCAGAATTAGCATGCGCACCTGACTCCCAATATTAGGAAAGGGCAGCCAAGATTTCTTGGGATGTCATTCCTGACTTGAAGCTGGGATATGCATGAGCTGAACACAAATTCAGCTCACACCTGTTTCCAACATCCGGATACCCACATCTGCACAAAGCAGCTCTGATCAGTAATTGTACAAGCTGGAAGCTCAGCTGGCAGCAGACACTGTGCTGGACCATCACTGTGGCTCAGTAGCCCGTGGAAGGTGTGACACTGAGTGTCCTGCAGTGAGGCTCTGACTGACCCCTTCCTGCTGTGTAGGTTACAGCATGTCACTACAAGAAGCTAAAAACTCAGCTTCCCAAGTCCTACGGCTGGTTAAGAGAGTGAGTTATACTAACCGGATGCAGCATCCTCCAAGTCTTTCAGGTCCCCCTTTGGACCTTCAGGCGTCTTCTGGAAATCATTCCCTGTTTTAGCTTTATACAAGGACATTAACAGAAAGTATGCAGTTACATTTCTTATGAACAACACACTGAAAAGGAGTGCTTATTCTGGAAGTCAATAGAGATTCACAGATACTCACCCTTGGGATACCAGCTGGGAATCAGCACGGAATTCGTCTGAGGAGCTGGAAAAGCCCTCCCTCTGGCCACATCTACAATCAAACACCCATGAGAAGTTACTATCACGTGCTCTGCCCTCCATCATCATACCTGAACACCAGAATGTGTAATGACAGGGCGCACCTAGCTGCAGGGTGCCTGGCTCACCTTGGGACTTTGACCTTGCAGCTCTCAAAGGAAGCAAAAAGTCATGAGGTACCCACACAACCTGCTGTGAATCAGGCCTGGAACCCAGCCAGGAGGCTGGATAACCATCACTGAGTGGTGGATAACTCAGTGCCAAGTTTCTGGCCCCACACTGTCACTCCTCACCTCCCTGCTTCTTAGGAACCACCCCTGCTCCGAAGCAGCTGCAGTCCCACCACACCTCCTCGTGGTATGTCTGCACCATGGTGCCCTGCTGGCTCACCCAGCCTTAGCCCTGGCCCCACCGCTGCCCACCTAGGGCTGGGTGCTGGCACCCGCCTGCCTACCTGCTCCCTGCCCTTGTATTGGAACAGTCTGGAGACCCTGGACTTGCAGGGCCACTAGAAAGAGGAGGAAGAGGTAGCAGGTGAGGACCATGACCATGCGTGCTTGCAGCATGCTGCCGCCCCTGCTGCTGCCACAGTGCTGCCCAGAGCTGGCGTGGAACAGCATGTCAAAGTAGGGCTCTGTGACCTCATGGCCCTGTCAGGCCATGCCCTCCACCAAGGTTCCCCAACATTCTCCTGTTTGTTATCTGTGAATTCCTGAATCTGCCCACTGTTGAGTTTCCTCTTTCTGCACAACCACGGAAGGAGCAGAAACAGAGAAGGGTGGACCTATTTTGGGAGGCAGCACCGTGCATGGGAGTACCGAGGCACTCAGGTCTTGCTTCCCAGAAATCTGTATCAAAAGCTGCATATAAAGACTGCATAAAAAAAGCCAGTTGCAAGTGTCTTGCTACTATTTTTGTCAGGCAGCATTCTAGAGAGAAACTAGCTTTTCCCACTAGTTTTGCTGCAGTTTCATTACCTTTAAAGATACCACTTACCTCTGCTACCATCCCTGTAATATCAGCATGCTGCCCCTAGGCTTAACCCGAGTGAACATGGTTTATTCCCTTCCCCCTCCAAATCTAGTTTAAAGCTCTCTCAGTGAGCCGTGCTAACTCCTGTGCAGAGATCCTTTTCCCCTTTGAGATAGGTGTACCCCATCTGCTGCCAGCAGGTCTGGTGTTGTGTAAACCGACCTGTGATCAACACCCACAAAATTCTGCTGGTGACACCAGGTTCAGAGCCAGGTATCCACCCACATGATTTTCCTGTTTAACACTTTTAACAACATCAAGTGCTGGACTCTGCACCTGCAACAAGGAAACCCTGGATGTACGTACAGACCGTGGAACGAGAGGCTGGAGAGCAGCCCCATGGAAAGAGATTGCTCTGCTCTGCGCTAGTGCAGCCTCACTTATGTGCAGTCTACGTGCAGTTTACAGGTCCCACAATATAAGAAGATATAAAGCTACAAAGGAGGGCCACAAAGATGCTAAAGGGTCTAGAGGAGATGCCATATGAGGAACAGCTGAGGTCACTTGATCTGTTCAGCCTGGAGGAGCCTGAGGGGAGACCTCACAGCAGTCAACAGCTTCCTCAAAAGGGTAGGCATGGATCTCTTCTCTCTGGTGACCAGTGACAAGACCCGAGGGAATGACCTGAAGTCACTCCAGGGGAGGTTTAGGTTGGATATTAGGGAAAGGTTTTTCACCCTGAGGGTGGTTGGGCACTGGAACAGGCTCCCCAGAGAAGTGGTCATGAAACCAAGCCTGCCAGAGTTCAAGAAGTGTTTGGACAACACCCTAAGGTACACGGTGTGATTCTTGGGGTTGTCCTGTGCAGGGCCAGAAGTTGAACTCAATGATCCTCGTGGGTCCCTTCCAACTCAGGATATTTTATGATTACACTTGGTAGGGGTGAAAAAGTATAGCCATGGTCATGGGTTTTCAAGCAGTGTCTGCTATGAGAGTGGGTTTGTATAAAGTTCCATCAGCTGTGAGCCAGATGGATACAAATCCTGTGACAGGATATGACTGTAAGCAGGATGTCAGAGAGATTTTAATTATGCAACATCTTAAATCCAAGTAAGAAAAAAAAAGAGGGGGGAGAAGCTCATTTTGGAGATGTCAAGTATACTTTATGTGACAGATTGCTACATTCTTTTGTTTAGGAGGCTAGTCAAGGGTTGTGAGAAACAGAGGGAGCACAGCAACTACTCATTTGTTTTTAATACTCAAAATTTTTCCTGTAGATTAGCTTTTCATCATGCCAGAGTCCTCGAAGAAAGAGCCACAGGGGTGTTGGGTATGGCATACCATGCTCACATCACTTGTGATTATCAAACTGCTTCCATAACATAAGCACCCCTAACACAAACTGGAAAAGGAAAGTACAAGCTTGGTGACTTTTGAGTTTGTCACTGTATTTTAAGAACTGTTCTGCCAATGCACTTCTCTGATATGAGACTAAACTACAAGCCATGAAACACTGTGAATGGACAAGAAATAAAAGCACTGTTCCCTGTTCACAGGCACAGAATAACTTTGCAAATTTGCACTTCAGGGCAGTGGAAACAGAAATGGAAAGTACCCTACTAAATGGTAAATAGAATGCATGATCACTTAAAGAAGATATCCTTACTGTACATATTCTGGACACATTTAGCATCTATACCTACACCTCTGAGCTTTAGCATGCAGCGAGTCAACCATTTACCATCAGTATCCATATTACACAACACTCTACCCAACCTACAACTACTAATACTGAGAAAATAAGGAGTCCAGATAGAGTAAAAATGAGTGAACTACAAGAAAGAGAGGGTCTCCAATGGAATTTATTTGCAAAGACAACACTTGAACTGCTGCAAAGAGTACTCTCAGAGACTGCCAACAGGCTACCTGATGCCCAGTGCGAAGCTATCATACAAATAAATGGAAGATACAGTAATCCTGACATCCAACCTTTGTCATCTCCCAAGCGTAACAATTTCTCAACCATACAATTTCAACGTTCTCTATAAAGTTTCCCTTAAAAAATTGAGACATAGAACATGAACTGTGATCGTTAAGTCCCAGCAACACCACAGGAATAATCTCTGTCATGTGAAATAGACACTCAGGAAATCCTAAGAGCCCTGTTTCACTGAGGATCATTCATACAGCTGAGTATCATCTCACCTAGCAAGCTCTCTGGAATCCTAGATGCTTTGGATCAAGCATCCTCCAGAAGGATGGACACCAGAGAGACTCCTAAAGCTACAACTGCCAGCCCTGGGAAAGAAATTCCACGCAACAAACTGGACAAATCAAAAATTTCAAAACAAACTGGACAAATCAAATAATTTCCAAAATCTCCCTTACCCTTCCTAAGTTTCTGTAGACATAATAGCGAAGAATAGAGACAGACATTAAAATATTAAGGTAGTATAGTTTTCTATTTTGAATTGAATTACTCCTTAAAGAGAAGAAATTATTTTATTTGTTCTCTGCCCAACTTGTCATTTTTGTCAGTTTTTTTTTTGTTGAAAATATAATCTCCTGTGATATTTATACCACAGATTTTAAAGACAGGTACCTGTCAGACTTTGAATATCTTCAATGAGAACAGGAGGTAAATAAATTTAGAGAGTCTTTAGAACTTCATTTACTAACTTTTCATTGGGATACTGGAAAATATCAGGGAATGAAGTATTCTTCAAAGAAACTGTTAGGTCATTACATTTAAGACATCCCAAACCATTTCCTCTATCATATATTATAGCATGTATTGCTGGAGTTCAGTCATGTATGTAATAAATAGAGATGGCTAATCATTTGTAGAAACATTCTCACTTCTGACAGTGCAGGAAAAGAAAGGGACATCAGTGAAGCTGAATTCTGCTCTTTTGAAAAGCGTCATTGGAAATGCATGTGATGCCATGAGCCCAAGCATACCCTGGAGCTCAGTATATCACTAACATGCACTCAAGCAGCTTCATTTACTGCTGGGAAGACTCAAAGGCATCCTTGCACTGACTTGGTATAGGTAGGAGGTAGCTGAACACAGAAATAGTGTGCTCCTGCTGTCATGGGTAGAAGGGTGTGGACACAGCCACTGGGTCTCACCACAGCACTTCTTTAATCCTTACTCTGGCATTGTGTTGTAAATGGTTTTAAGCAAGGAGGATTTTATGAGTGTGAACATCCTATTGATTTTCTGCCAGCTCTACCCAGCATTACTCAAGCTATCACATGCAGGAATTCACACTTGCATAGTCCTAACTCACCTTAAAACTCATTACATTTGAAAAGTGAAGGGCACTTTGAAAACTCTAAGTTTAGAAGTTTAATGAAATCTCTCAAGAAGGAGGTGTTACTAGGCCTCCAAAGCCTCTGCAAGTTAGAAGCCTTGCCTTCTGCATGAACCCTCTTATCAGAACAGAAATCAGACTCATAGTTTTCTCAAGAAGAGAAACATGGAGCAGATTGAATGATCCTAGAGAATTAAACACTGCTATGCAAAGCTGTTGAAAATAAAGTGATGCTGTAATCACAGACATGCAAGTGTGAGTTAGCACTGAGTTACTTTTTGTACCTTATTTTTCCACTACGTAAAATATCCAAACCATTTTACTTCTAAACTGCAAAAAGTAAGATTCCCCTACTGACAGGGGTGCTAGCAAAATACCTTCAAACAGAAGCAAATTTTAAATGCACCAAATTACAAATGCATCATCATTTAATTTGACATAGAAATATGATTAAGCTCCCTGATTGAAATTACACAAGAAAGAAGAATTGCAGTCTTGCATGTCTTCACAAGGAAACCTTCTCTCCACATGGATATTTCCTCATGTCCTCCCTTACTGAATTACTGAAATCTTGAGGTACAAACTATACAACATATACAATGCAAAATAAAACTGCTCTACCATATATTATCAGAACAAAAAATTTCATCTCTTGTGAAAGGCAGAAGACATTTTTTGCAGTTACCAATTATTAGGTAGGATAAGGAATAATTCCCAAAACTGAAAAAAAAAAGTCCAGAGCAGTTTTGCACTAAAACTGCAAATGAAAAAGGATCTCTCCATTAATTTCTTCTCCCACTGTTACCAGAAAACAAACCCATGCCAATTACTTTAAAGCATAACAACTGTCAAGTTGTGCATCAATTCAAGTTTCATAGCATTATATGCATCAAAAAAGAAATCTGCAAACAGTGTGGCAAAATCTGTGTTTGCAAGCCTTGGCAGACAATCATGAGGCTGAAGGGAAATGCAAGTGTACTTTTGCTCACAGTCTACTGACCAGAAGAGAGTCGAGGATCAACCAAAACAAGATGTGTGAGAAACTTAAAAAAATATTTTTAGTTTTAAAAATCACAGTGTCTTTCAAAAGTTTGGTACCGATTTCTTTGACAGAAAACTCAAAACCAGCAAGAACAACAAACACATTCTCATTTCCTTGCTTCCTGCTAACAAGAAGGTTGATATAGTCATCTTTATGGCCATGATGTTAAGCGTTTACGTGTGTATTTTTATACAGAGGAACATTCAAATTATTCATTTAAATGTATTTAAAATGCATGTTTCCTTTTTATAGAATCCCTTTAGTAGCTTCAAAGACTATAAAAGGAGAAAAACATGTAGACTCACCATAATTTAGGTTTAACAGTTTAGTAAATCATGCATCTGTTGTAAATTTCTAGAGCTCAAACACAAATACAATCTCAATAAATAGTCGCTGAAGAAATTTGATTTATAGGCCCCAAAGACCTTGATTATCAGATTCTTCACAGACTTACTAGCAAGCCTACTATACTGTATTTAAATAGCAGAGATGCAATGAAAAGGAAATAAACCTTTTGCCATTTTGTCCTAAATATTGTTGTTTTATATACGGTTTACTTTACAGTCAAATTCTTATAGAACGAAACTGCAGGTTTTGAATTACAATTTAAAAATCCAAGCAAAACAAGACCAAGCCAAGCAAAATCCCCAGCCTCATAGAGACCTTGTTAAATTTGCAACTAAAACTACTTCTGAGAAAGAAAGGACGAAGCTCAGGCTGCGTCCCTCCGAGCACACTTAAGTATGTAGCCACAGCTACCCTTCTCCAGAAGCCTTGCATCACTGGAGATATTTCTGCACATGCTTATGATGACTTCTGCTTACTCTACTTACCTAAGCAAATTCCAAACACAGCTACAAATGGTGGGGGGGAGGGCTTTGGGTGGGGTGGGTTTTTTTGCTTTGTTTGTTTATTTCTTTGTTTTTCCAAAATAAGACCACAAGATATAAATCGAAGTGCTTAGAAAAACAGATATTCTAATTGATTGAGGTGTAGTTCAGTGCACATTCCCTGCTCAGCAGGAGCATTGCATTTTCCTCATAGACGGTGTTTCCAACCACAAGGAAATGTTAGAGTAGCCAAGACACTTTCAAACAGTGCTCTCTCTACCAATCAAAAGTACTTGTCCTTCTTATCTTGCTGCTACAAAATGGAGAGAAATTACATGTATCAAAAACAAGTAGGGTGTGTATTACTAATGTCAAAATAAGTAAGCATATTCTGGACCTTGAAACTTCTGAACTCCATATGCACCCTCATTCACTTTCCAACATGTACCCCAGGTGGAAAGTGAGTCTCACTGGAAACACCTACTTAAGGACTGCAATATATGGTTGTGAAAAGGGAGGGATTAGTAAAGTGAATTCTCTCTTTACATTGAGAGCTTTTTAAGTTTTTCATCACAATACTTACTGTATGTTTCCTGGAAACAGATACAGATACATTCCTGGCAAAAGAAAATGCTGCACTTCATATCCATTTTTCTGTGTGGAGACTACCAAGTGAAACACAACAGGGAAATACCCCTCCAGCTTGCCATACCAAAAGCATTTTGTTTAGAAAAATGGACAAAACTATTCCCATCAGCTGGCTTGTTCAATAGTACATCATTTTGGACAAATGCTTGAAAATATAATAAAATCAGTGTGCAAACTCAAGGGATTTTTATTTCCTTCCAGTTTCGATTGCAAATGTAATTTAAATTGAAGGCCCATGTTAAAAGCTGATCACATGATTTCTGAACCACCCTGATCTGTTTCTGAACTCCCTTTCTGTTCACTCTCTACAAAGCCCAACATGACCAGATTGCTAGTCCAGGTAATTCACAAGCTTACTGTTAACAGGTAAAAATCTTCCATTCTCTTCAGCTTTTAAACTGTCTCCTGCAAAAATGACAATGATTTCTTAACATTTTATGACAGAGAATCATATGTTCTATTTATATATTTTTTTTTTGGAAGGAATTAAATTCACAAACCAATGAAGAATTTGTGAACAATGAAAGAGCCCATGAAAATAAACCAAGAAATATTTATTCTGCTATGAAATAGCTGTAAAAAATATCCTAGGGTTGTGGAAAAATTTCAAATTCATACCTGGGTAGGCAATGGAGTTGGCAAATTGACCCCAAAAGACAATAAACTTGAGAAATTGTAGGTT